AGTTCTCCTCCAGCAAATCTTGGACAGTTTTCTCAGTGGTTTTGTTTTTCTCTTCCTGTTCTGGAATTCCAGTGACACGTGTTATTCCTTTTAATGGTATCCCACATGAGCCTTAGGCTTTCTTCGTTTTGATTTTTTTCTGATTGATCCCTTTCCAAAGAAGTATTCAGGTATTTGTCTTCAATGTCATTAATTCTTTCTTCCATTGCATCAATTCTACCCCTTTGCCCTTCCAATGTGTTATCTATTTCTGACAATTTAGTATTAATCTCCTGGATTTCTGTCTGTAGATTTAGAATCATTGCTAATTTTTCATTTATTTTGTCATTTTGTTCTTGTATTTTCTTCCAAAATTCTTCTAGGGTTTTTTTCTGTTTTCTTTGGTCTGTCTCTCAGTCCTTTGAAGATACCTAAATATAATTCTTTTGAATTCCTTATCAGAGAGTTCCAATGCTGCTTCTCCCTCAGGGATGTGTTCTGGGTCTGTATACTGCTCCTTTGTTTCTACCACTTTATCTTGCTTCTTTGTGTGGACTGTGATGGTCTGTTGTCTCCACAGCATCGTGGCGTTGTTGTATTTAGATCTCTGTTAACTGTTTGTGAAGAGCAGCCCAGGGTGATTCAGACTCTTCTTGGTGGTTTTTTATCGTTGGCCCATTGGTGGAGAAGGAGGTAGTGGCTCACTCAGTAAGTGAAGTTGCAGGAGGTGTGGGTGTAGTTGTGTCTTATGGGGACTGTTGTTGTCTCCCACTCAGTTAGACACAAATTACAATTGAATAACCATCAAAAAACTAAAAGCACATGGACAAAAAACACACCATGTAATCACACAGGAACAGTAACCAAAAAGAGAAAAAAGGGAAAAAGAAGAAAAAACAAGAAAACCTGCAATATCTGGGGATAGGGTACTAAGAGGAAAAAAGTAGAGAAGGAGAATAATGCAGGAAAAAGGGAAAAATGCAAAAAGAAAAACAAGGAATGGGGTTAACCACGAGAAAAAAGGGGAAAAACAAAACAAATGAAAAAAAAAAAAAACTTTAAATTAAAACAAAAATTTTCAGCCAGGAACAGGGAAAAGAAAAAATGCTGAAAATTAGGACCTGGGAGGGGAAGATTAAGAATAATAGTAAAAAGGACAGAAGTATTAATAATAATAGTTGTTTTAAAACAGACAAATACAAGCAAACTAATCACCAGAAAAAAGCAAGCAAAAAAGAAAAAAATAAAAGAGAAAAAAAATATCGGTGGAAGACAGGGCAGGGCACCCAGGCTCCGTCTGAATACACAGACTGTGATGGAGTTCCTATGGGCCCAGAAGGTAGGTGGGAGTGGAGGATGGCTGCACCTCCGTTCACCAAGTGGATGTGGGGTATAAAAGTAATAAGAGGAATGTGGTACCTTTTCAGTCTTGCAGGTCCAGAGTGACCTTGGGGTTGCTGGAAAGCAGAACGTGTTCTTAAGCCCCAGGAATCTGTGAGTGCACTGTCTCTTTAAATATCCAAAATAGTCAAGCCGTTTTTAAACCTTCAAAATGGCAGTGCCCTCCGGACGGCAGAAGTCCACAACTCAGCCCACCTTTCTCTTCACCTTCTCCATTTATTCTCCAGCCACCAGAGCAGTCCTCTGTGCAGTCCCTGGCTAGCAGGGCTGATTTTTAGGTTAATTCTTAGGTCCTACCTGGTAGCATAGTGGCTAAGACACTTGCCTGCTAACCAGAAGGCTGGCGGTTCAAACCCACCTGCCACTCCTCGGAAGGAAGGTTGGGCAATCCTACTTCTGTAGTGATACTGCCTCGGAAACCCAAGGAGGGGTCGCTATGAGTCGGGTTTGACTCGACGGCACATAACAACAACAACAACAACCAGCACTTGGGAGGCACTCTGATAGAGTAGTGTCTAAGGCACTTAACTGCTAACTAGAAGGCTGGCGGTTCAAACCTACTGGCCACTCCTCAGAAGGAAGATGAGGCAATCTACTTCCACAGTGATACTGCCTCGGAAACCCAAGAGGGGTCGCTATGAGTCGGGTCTGACTCAACAGCACATAACAACAACAAACCACCACTCGGGAATCTCCAAGCTGTCTGTGCCGTCAGGATCGCTCAGGATCGCTGCCAGACCGCAGCTCCATATGTGTCCTTTTTTGGTATTTTCACGCAAATTCTTCTGCTAGGTGGGGTTTAGTCCACTTCTATATCCTTCCTTTCAAGGCTCAGGGGTCCAAGATTATCTTCTGTGTCTGTGTTAATTGGTTTCCCTTTTCTTTGTTGAAGAGGGTCTGTGCAGTCTTTCTGCCTAGTCTGCCATCTTGCCGGAACCACCTCTAGTAGCAAGACTCTTGCCCATAGGCACTCAGCTTTCTGGCTCTCTGGGCCAGGAAGCCAACCGCACAGTTTCCTGGTTCTGCTGCCTCTCCTGCTATCATTTCTTGCCATCACTGGTATTACAGCTTTCTGTCTCCTAGATCTAACAGGTTCCCAGCACAGGGACCCTGGGTCCAAAGGATGCATTGCACTGCTGTCTCTTCTTCTTGATGCTAACCAGATCCATGCTGTCCACTTCAGGGAAGTCTCCTTTTAAGCCTAGTGGGATGGCAAAACTGGCCAATCCCCATGTTAGGGTTCCTTATACCTTATTTGTATGGTCCCACTCCCACAGAGTACCATGCCCCTTTATTTATATTAAAAGCAAGCTATCCAATCCCGTTGGCAGGCCACAAGCACCTCTCCTTTGCATAGTCCTACCCAGTCCTTTGGTGAGGATTATAAAGACTATGGTTAGAAGGGCCACATTAAGTAATTTACTACACTGTAAGTTTTCCTCATCACCTCAGATGGAGATTCCTTAAGTTTCCCTTTTTTAGTGAGAGAAATATTTCTGGAAACGCTGAGAGGGCAGTGGACTCACTCCATCCCAGAGGCAGACTGAGCTAGGCAGCTTTGCCCCATCTGAGGCCCTGGTCATCCCTGCCTTAGCTGCTCATAGAGAAATCACATTCTCCTGGATGGGTGGTTTGCAGTGAGTGAAGAGTAGGCCTCCATGAATGTGAAGATGGGGTAGAACTGAACAGCTTTAACAAGGGCAGTGCAGTATGGCTATGTCCTGCTTCCTACCTGCTGCTTCCAAGCTGACTTTAACAAGATGTTTCTGAGGGCTCGAAACCGAAAGAAAAAAAAAAACAAAAAAAACTCACTGTCGTGTTGAATCCAACTCATCGCGACCCCTCCCTGGGTTTCTGAGATGGTATCACTACGGAAGTATATTGCCCAGTTTTCCTTCTAAGGAGTGGCTGGTGGGTTTGAACTACCAACCTTCTGGTTAACAGTCAAATGCCTTAGGCACTATGCCATCAGAGCTCCCAAAGGCTATAAAGCAAATAGTAAATAGGACTTTAGATCAAGCCTTGGAGACAGAAGCCTTGGAGATAGGAGTTGTTGGTGAAAGAGGAGGGAGGGGGAGGAGAGTGAAATAGGTGACATATTTGAGCTGACACTGCCTCACAGGCCGGTGCCCTATAGTTTAGGCTTTAGCTGTCTAGTAGGAAGGTTGGCTTAGGACCCTTGTTTTCATAGGCAGTCAAAGTCAGGGAGCCAGGGGTGCTGAGCCAGGACTGATGGGAGGGCCAGATCTAGGACAAACAGAAGGACTGACAGCATGTGTCTTCCTGGAATCCAGAATATGAGAGGATGTGATAAACCCACAAGCTCCTTCCAGCATGGAGGAGGAGGAACAGAGACAATAGTGTGATCAAATAAAGGCCAGAGTAACGCACTGGTTTGTACCTGATGTGGAGTAAGCAGGAGGTAACTTGGCAGTGGCTTAGCAATTAGATGCTAAGGCTGATGAGGAGTGGGGAGGGCTGGTTTAAGTCAGATAGGGCCTTGCTGGCTCTAGAAATGTTCCTGTGAGCCAAGGATGCTTGCTTTCTGCTGCCTTTGGAAAAAAGGGGGTGGGGTGTAGTGCCTCCTGAGCCAGAACTGTGTAGGGCTATTTTGAATGCAGCTATTTGGGGAGAACTGGTTACTGCTTTGTGTTTATTTATAGGTCATTTGGGTTCATCCTTTCTCTGGAGGCCTCAGCATTTGTTCAGTGAGCATGTCCTGAGCCCCTCCCATGAACTGAGTACTGTGAAGAAGGCCCAAACTAGAACCTGCTCCTGAGGAGCTCATAGCTTCTCTGCTAGACTTTAAGAGTAGGTGACACAGAGCAGGAGCTAAAGGGGTTGAGACGATAGAGAGAAATGAGTGTTAAGAGCTGGAGAAATCACCTTGGAAAGGTAGCTTTCCTTAAAAGACAAAATTTTCTTAGGTGAAAAGAATTACCAGAATATTCCAAATGGAAGGGCACAGAATAGTAAAGGCAAAGGTTTGAAGGTCTTGTTCATGCTTGTCAAATCAAGCTTGTCTGTGAAAGTCTGGATGTAGATGTGTGCATGAGAGTTCCAGGGGGGCGAGAAAGCCAACTACATAAAGCTAGACCATAGAGGTTGGTTGTAATCCTATGGGCAGTGAAAGTGTAGGCTTGGACACATGTCCTTTTCTTACATTACCTGGCAAGGTCAGGCCTGGGCTTTGGATCTCTGTACTCTGAGGAAAGGAGAAAGGCAGGCCAGAGGACTGAAAGTCTGTCTTCACTAGACTATAAGCTCCATGAGGACAAGGGTTTCTCTTTTGTTCACTGAGGTATCACTGGCACTTAAAACCATCCCTAACACATAGAAAGCATAAATGATTAGTGTTTGAAGCATGAAGTGAATCCTAGGGCAGTCATACAAGTACCAGGATTAACTCATGTCACATGTCTATCTCAGGGTCCCCAGGTCTGATCACTTAGACAATCTAAGAATGTGATTCACCAAAGAGCAGAAGACAGTGTCCTATGTACAGACTCAGGGAATAAGTGAGGAGTGAGTAAGGACAGAGGGGAGGGTGGTGATAACTCTATAGCTGTATGGTTCCCACTTCTGAGCCACATTGTCCTCTTCTTCTTTGGAAACCTTAGAATTGCCTGATAAAGAGGGATGAGAATGGTTACTCTGCAGTGGTGGCCGACTTTGGCCTGGCTGAGAAGATCCCTGATATCAGGTGGGTAATCCTGATAGGTGCTGGGGTCACAGAGGGGAGGGAGGCTGAGCCTAAGGGAAAACTTCAGCTTCATCTCTAGAAGCCAGGATTTGGTCACAGCTCAACTTCAGCTCCCTATATTTGGTCACTCATAGTCTGTGCCCCACCCTTGGGGGAGGAATTCCCAAAGGTCAGAGGTCCCATTGTACCTGTCAGTAGCAAGCTGATTTTCCACATAATCTCACCCCACAGCACGGGGAGTGAGAAGCTAGCCGTGGTGGGCTCACCCTTCTGGATGGCACCTGAGGTTCTTCGAGATGATCCCTACAATGAGAAGGTGAGTCTTGTTCACCTTGGAATCACTTTAGGAGAAAATATCCAGGATCACCTTTATATTCAGAGTGAGAATCCACATCTTTCCTGCCAAGAGCAGAGAATTAATTGAATGGAATATGGCCAGTAGGGCCCAGGCCTGGGCTGGTAGATATGGGAGGCAGATACCCCACTCTCACCCTATTGAAAGAGAAACCCAAAGTCTGACTATCCACCAGGCGGACGTGTTTTCTTATGGCATCATCCTCTGTGAAATCATTGCCCGCATCCAGGCTGATCCGGACTATCTTCCTCGCACAGAGGTGAGCTGCAGGGATGGGGAGCCACTGGAATAGGACTGGTTTTGAGGCTATGGAACTGTTTTTTTTTCCCCCTTGGGATAGAGTTGCTGGACTGTGGCTTCTTCTTAGGAGCAGTTCCCAGCTTCTCCCTGAGCCGACCAGGATGGGTGGGGGAATAGTGACCTATGCCCACTTATACCCTCATATCCCCTTCATGCCCCAATGTCCCCCCAACACCCATTCACAGAACTTTGGGCTGGACTATGACGCTTTCCAGCACATGGTGGGAGACTGTCCCCCGGATTTCCTGCAGCTCACCTTCAACTGCTGTAATGTGAGTGTCTTCCTCCCTCAGGGGCTGGCTGAATCCTTTTCACTTGGTTGGGACTACAGGGAGAAGCTGCTAATTAATTAGCCTCATGTGGGACCTATCTCATTAGATGAGTGCCTAATAGCATTCTTCCTCTGTGGCAGTACCCACCTCTCTCCTCTAGGCCTGGACAAGGAGCCCTGGACCAAGGAAAGTAATAACTATTATCCAGACCCCCAGACCTCAGCCTGCAGGGTAAACTCACCACTTTGGGTGTTGATGGAGCTCTGGTCAGATTTTATTGTCTGACTGTGGTTCCAGTTGGTTCTGAGGCTCCATGGGAAAGGCTCTTGCAGCCTTCGTATACAATTCTGGGGCTGGACCTACTTTTTTTGACCAAGGGATAGGTAGGCTTTGATCAGGTAGCTCCCAGAGACACAGTCAGTGTAATTCAACAAAGGATATTGTAAGCCAATGTGAACATATACTTTTGAAGGATGCTGTGCCAAATGAGGAGATAAGGCACACAGAAAGGGGGATGAAATAAAGGAAGGATAATAGACACTAGCATCTTCCCTGACCTCAGCTCTTCATATTACCCCCATGTCCTGGGGCCTTCAGAAATGATCTCGTTGCTGCACATCTGAATCTTTTAAAATGCCAGAAACAGACTCAAATGCCATCCTTGGGGTGGAGGCTGGAGGACAGGGCTAATGGCTGGTGTGGATGCCCACAGATGGACCCCAAACTGCGTCCATCCTTTGTGGAAATTGGGAGGACCCTGGAGGAAATTCTGAGCCGCCTACAGGAGGAGGAGCTGGAGCAGGACAGGAAGGTGCAGCCCACAGCCAAGGGTAAGAGAGAGAGGAACCAGAGAGCCCAACCTGATCCTAAGGAAAGAAACTAGGATGTGGTACCCTCCCCTCTAGGGTTGTGATTGCAGGATCCCAAGTCCAGAAGCAAAGGGGAAGGGCTGGGGGTGATGGAAAAAAAAATATTGAACTCTCTAATAAGAGTTGTGACTTGGCACCTTCACTGGTGAAATGGAAACCAAAGAATCTACTTTGCTTTCATAGGTGTAAACAGTTTGTTAAACAAAGTACTGCCTCTACATATTATAACTGGTGAGAGAAACCCTAACTTGTCTCACTGTTCTTCAGGTCTCGTGGAGAAAGGACCTGAGGTAAAGCAACTGAGCTTAATGGATGACAAGATCTCCAAGTCTCCACGCCCAAGACGAACTATCTTGTTGTCTCGAAGCCAGTCAGACATCTTTTCCCGTAAGCCTCCACGTACAGTGAGCGTCTTGGACCCCTACTATCAGCCACAACGAGGTGCTGCTGTCCGTACCCCCAAGGTCAACCCTTTCAGTGCTCGCCAGGACCTCAAAGGTGGCAAGATCAAGTTCTTTGACCTGCCTAGCAAGTCTGTCATCTCCCTCGTATTTGACTTAGATGCACCAGGGCCTGGAACTGTGCCCTTGGCTGACTGGCAGGAACCTCTGGCTCCACCTGCTCGTCGGTGGCGTTCTTTGCCTGGTTCACCTGAGTTCTTGCATCAAGAGGCCTGTCCATTCCTGGGCCGAGAGGAGTCTCTATCTGATGGGCCCCCACCACGACTCAGTAGTCTCAAGTACAGAGTAAGAGAGATCCCACCATTCCGGGCATCTGCCCTACCAGCTGCTCCAGCACATGAGGCCATGGACTGCTCCGGTTCGCAAGAAGAGAACGGTTTTGGGCCAAGGACCCTAGTGGCCAATCCAAGCCCTGAGAAGATGGAAGTTGAAGAAAGGCCAAGAGGCTTGGCCCCAGTTCCCTTCTCCACCTCAGATACAGGCCAGCAAACCCATGGAGAGCAGGATGGGTGAGGGGGTAAGTCCCCTGCTCACCTTGGGGATGGACCTTTATCTAAAGCCATAGGCCCCTTTGGTGCACAGCCTTGATTTTTCCCTGGAGCCCATAGAGCAAACAGGCTAGGCCAGGCCAAGCCCAACTATAGGGCCCTCAATGCCTAATGGCTGTATATGAGAGGAGCAGTAGCAGTGAGAGGCCTTGCTAGTTACGGCCAACAGCTGATACCAAGCTTCTGAAATCCAGCAAGGAGCTCTAGCTTCCACATGATCCCCCAACGCATTTCCCCAGACAGCACCAGAGGATTCCTTCTTGTTCTAGGTTAAGTGGCAGGCAGTTATTACCCCCAGGTTCCTCTTCCTGCCCAGGTCTGTTTCTTGTCCTTTCCTGGGGCATATAAGCTAGTAGATAGAACCTGGAACTGACCAGGAGGCCATAAAGAGCATGGCTGTTTCTCAGAGCTGAAGACTGGGGTGCTTCTTGCCAGTATGTCTAAGACACTTGAATAATTGCTGTTTGCACTTACTGCACAGTCAGACCACATCACTACATTTCTATGCAGGGGGAAGGCAAGGCAATGTGTAGTGGTCATGGCTCTTAGCTAACCTATTCAAAGACCTTTTCCAATTGATTAATCTATTTTCCTATTTATGAAGGAGTCTTAATGTTCTGCCCTTAGGACTTTCAACCTTATGGTTGGGAGTGGGCTAGTTTTGTAGGCCTTAGGGCCTGCTTTGTGCATTTGTCAACATGTGATACACTGACTGTTTAAGTGGTTTATACATGGACTGATTTTTCTTCCCTTCCTGCTAAGGCTGGAGGTATGGAAATAGTCTGTCCTTACAGAGCCGCAATAAGAAATAACCAAAGATGAAGCTGGTCAGATATTTTCATAACTTGTTTCTGTTTTTTTTTTTTTAAAACTTTCCCAAGACACTTTCAGATTTAAAAATAAAGATGGTGTTACAGGTGCTGGTCAGCCTTATTACTTATACCCTTGTACCTCAGCCTCTGGGATAAAGGAGAAGGTCCAGGGGCAATGTAATACTTCTGTCAGGACCCCAAGGCCCTACCCCCAACTCTGTAGTAGCTGGGAATATGGCATTCCAGGCTAGAGGGACCCAAACCCTTCTGTTTAACCCTTAGCTACTCTTCCTAGGTCCCAAGTGCTAGGCAGTTGGGTCAGCTGCTGCCCCAGGCCAGCTTCATCTTCTGGCTGTGGGCTTTGGAGGAACGGGAGAACTGGCTCTTGGCGACTGTAAGGGGTACAGCTTTGCCACTTAGGTATACCTTGTTGTGGCATTCAGGTAGCCACGGTCCGGAGCTGCAGAGTTCAGGTTCTTGGCTCACTCTCACGTAGGCTATCACATAGCCTGTCATAAAGGCATCAAAACCAGCCCGGTGCAGCCCATCCCCAGGCACTGGGTTACTACTGGTTTGACTGCCTGGCACTTCTGGGGCTGCCATGTCAGTGCTTCCAGACCTTGTTGCCTTAGGCCCCATCTCTAAGTCACTTTTGTGATCTTGCTCACAGCCAGGCTGGTTTGTAATCTCATTCTCAGCTACCTTCTGCTCAATTTCCTCAGCCTTGAGGCCATCCCCACAGACTTGCTTTGTGGGAGGACCATCTTCAGCTTCCCCAGAGGTCTGTGTCCCAGAAAGGCCCAATAAAGCCCTCCGCCGTTTTTCCCGCCGCCGCCGCCGTCGCCGCTTATCTTCCACCACAGCCTCATCAGTGTCGATGATGAGGTCAATATTATGGGATCGAGGACACTGTGGACCCAGGGGGCACCAGCCATAGGCCTAGAGGTAGGAAAGGGCCTTAAGAGGGGGGTTCCAGGCATCAGAAACTCCCCACTCCAAGAAACAGGTGGGTGCTCTCACCGAGAAGTTGTCACAGATGCTGGTGGGATGGGGATGTTGGGTTCCAGTAGACGTGCAGCAGCGGTAGTCAATATGGGCCCTCATGCTGGAAGGGTAGCTACAGAACTCCAGAGTAAGATGTGGGCTGCCAGCTGCCCGCTGCTTCCCATTTTCTCGCTCACTGCAATAATGCAAGAGGATATTGGTCCAATGGCATACAAATTCTGTGAGATTAGGGATTTTTGTGTTTTGTTCACTGCTGAATCCTCAAAGCACCTAAAACAGTGCCCGGCTCATGGTAGGCACTCAATAAATACGTTAAGTGAATGAAATAGGCTCATATCAAGCCCCAACCATCCCTCAACCATCCCCTCACCATTTTCTGAAGGCATATTCTAAGTAGGAGGCCACAAAGCGGGCATGAAACTCAACAGCATATTTGGTGTCATAAATGCCAGCTGGGAACATTTCACACAGGTCAGCAGTGAAGGTTCCCAGGCTCTCAGGCAAATGTGCGTAGAAGTTCTGGTATAGAAACACCAAGTCTATGAGGCCGTTGTGTAGCACCAGGGGCCGGCGGGCCCGGATTAGCTCCAGGAACAGTGTCCGCACAGACTGGCTCTGGCTCTCGTTACCCTAGAGGGGAGGAAAGAGTTCATGGGGAAGAACAAAGTCCCTTAAGGAGACTTTCTTCGATATACTTAACCCAGGCTGCTCCACTTAGAAGCTCTCCCTCCCTGCCTAACTCAATACTTCCCACCCTTGTACTTAGTTTGGAGGCCAACCTTATCATTGCCCCTGTGATAGGGGATGCCCTGGGCATACTGCCGGTTGAAGTTGAAGCCATGCTGTACCAGGAACTGCACAGACTTTGGTTCTATGATATACTCTTCCATGCACAGTAGGGTCAGGTTGAACACCTGAGCCAGGTACGTGTATTCACCCTGGGAGAGGAAGCAGGGCTGCTGTATCAAGACTTGAGAGAAAATATCACACCTTATGTTTCGTAGCATCTCAGCCTTCCCTCCCAGCCACAGGCCAGGGATGGAGGTGAGATCAGCCCATACCTTGTCTGGCTGCTGCTTGAAGCAGGCGAGGCCCAGGGAAAGGATAGAGCGGGTCCTGGCAGCTTGACACACAGCCTTGTAACGTTCCTCGATGCACCTTGGGATTAGGTTTGGGGGTGGCTGTGGCTTGGAGTTAGCCTCACAAGGGACCCAAACTACCCAGAACCGTGATCCTCTACTCCAGGGTTAAGGTCTGCCCTTCCTGCCAGGGCTGGACTAAAGAGAGCGGCCTTATACTTACTGGTTCAGCAAACTCTTCCTGTCCCCAAGGCCACTCAATTCCTATGGGTGGGTAAAAGGAAAGTTGTGTCAGGACCACCCTCTTTACAATAACTGCCCTCCTTTCTCCCTGGATACTCACCGTGTCTACAGCCACAAAGCTAGCTGTCTTTATGGCCAGCAGGAGGGATGGCCATATTTCCTTGAAGTTGTCACTGTGCACATCTACCACAGGAACCTGTGCTACCAACTCCTTCTCAGATCTTGTGCATTTGCTGACAGCACCTGGGGGTAAGGAACAAAATGGATGTTAATGTTTAGCCTAGGGTCTTGGGTAGCATACTCCAAGGCAGGCCATTGCCCAGGCCTGGAGAGCGGTTTCCATAAGGGCAGGATACGACACTTTTTCCTTAAGTCCTTGTATTCCTCATAATCTATACATAAGCCTTGGGATGGACAGTGCCCTGAGTGTGAGGAGAGGAAACCTGGGTTTTCCAGCGGCTTATGTGAGACTTAAGGATAATTCCTCCCTGCAGCCCTAAGTATCACATCTGTGGAAGAGAAAAGTTGGACCAGATGACCTTTGAGGTTCCTTCCTCCCAAGTCGGCAGGAAATACTTGCAGGGCTTGAGGATTCAGCTCCCTTAATACCTCAAAAGGCTCCATACTATTGTTCCCATGATGCTCCAGAAGACACAAGCCACAACCCCCAATTCACTCCAGAGTTTGATAAACTCAATGCCTGTATCACAAACGCCAATATGTCCCATTTCCTTTGGACTACAACTCCCAACCTGCCCTACAGCCGTTACCAGAGTCATCCGCTCCGACTACGTCTCATGCCTTCACTTCCCCTGACTATACTCCCAACATCCCAGGCATTTGCAGCCCGGGTTGCGATGCACACCGGGGCTTGTAGTCTCTTCGTAATTGGTGCGGGTTGAAGCAGCTAGCTCTCTAAAGCCTGAGGACGGTTTCTAGGGCTATGCGTCCCAGGCCTTCCCCTTCCCCTTCCCCGGAGGGCTAAGTTTATAAGGCAGCCTCTGGGAAGTCACTCACCGTCAGAGGCCGCTAGAGCTGAGGCTGCGCCATTGTCACTGTTGGCGGCCATGACACCACGCGTCTCCCGCCTGAGTTGTTTGTGGATGCGCGGTACTTCCGCTTGGTTTCCCAGCTTGACTCTTTCAGTAAGGGATGGAGGCGGGGTCTCGCTCGCAGATTCGCCGACCGGTTGGACTTCGGTTCAGTCTAACCGGGCCTCACGCTGGGGAGTCGGCCTGGCGCGCGCTGAGAGCCTATTGGCTAGTGCCGCCGGGTGGGCCGCCCGGCTCGGCCAAAGTCACGCCCCTTGGAGTGCGTCTGTGAGTGCTGCGCGGGAGACAATGCAAGAGGTAATTTATTTTCTCCACAAGCCCTTCCCGAAGCATGGAACCTAAAATGTGGGTTGTATTCTTCGACGTGGCCTGGGGAAGTGGGAGTGGCGTGTGTAAGAGGGTAAAGGTTAAGGAAGGCTTACTTGAAGAAGTGGCGGTACCTAAGCTAAGCTAAAAGCCCGTCGAGAAGTTAGGCAAAAAAGGGCTGTGGAGGGAAGAGTGGTGTTCTGGGTTTGGGCAAGTTCTTAGAATGGGGAGCGCTTTGCGTTCCACGAAGGGGGACATAGGGCAAGGCTGCAGAGAGGCTAGGGAGTCCGGTTAGCCGGGAGGCTTTTGCAGTAAGCCAGGCAAGTGAGGACCTGAATTAAGGCTCTGGTTGTGGGGATAATGAGGAAAAGACATATTTTAGAGCAACTAGGAGCTCTGGTAACATAGTGCCTAAGGCACTGGACTGCTAACCAGAAGGCTAGCGGTTCAAACCCACCAGCCACTCCTCGGAAGGAAGGTTGAGCAATGTACTTCCGTAGTGATACTGCCTTGGAAACCCAAGGAGGGGTCGCTATGAGTCTGGCCGACTGGACGGCAGATAACAACAAGGGCTATAATTGACCTCGAAGGTGATTGGAAGCAACACTACTAGAGACCAGTCCTTTCCCAAGGGCTTCGGTTCCCATCACTTTGGCCCACCAAGGACTGTCAGCCCTTTCTCCTTGGTTATTCACTTTGCAGTTCTTCCTCAACCTCTCTTCCTCTGCTGAATCCTTTTCATCATTATTTAGGATTGCTCAGATTTCACCTATTCTAAAAAGCCTCCTTTGACTATCCCACATCCCATTCATTCATTTAACAAGTATTTATTGTGTACAGTTTGCCTGGCCCTGTGCTCAGCCCTGTGAATACAACTTTGAACTAAAGAGACCCAGTCGTTTTACAAGTGGGTGAAGCAGACACTAATCAAAGAATCATAAGTAAATGTAAAATTATTATTGCTTTAAAAGCTGCAGAGTTACTGGGTGGTGCAAATGGCTAAGTGCTAACTGAAAAGTTAGAGGTTCAGATCCACCCAGAGGTACCTCAGAAGAAAGGCCTGGCAGTCTACATCTGAAAAATCAGCCACTGAAAATCCTATGGAGCACAGTTCTACTCTGACACACATGGGGTCACCATAAGCAGAATCAACTCAACAACTAGTATAAGAGCAACAACAGAGAAATACAGGAGAGGGTAAGACACCTGCTTTGGACATTAAACCCAAGACCTGAAGAATCAGTAGATGTTAGGTAAAGCGTAGGAGAAGAGCTGTCTACGCAGAAGAGATGGGTTGGATAAAGGCCTCAAGGTAGACAGGTACTTGGGGGATGGAAATACTAAATTCAGACCAGCTTGGCTGTAACACAGTGGGTAAGCCAAGCAGAACCCAGATAGTTGGAGCCTACAAGTTTGGCTCTTAACCATAAGAGCAGTGGGTATAACAACCTAAGTCCTTGATATAAGAGCAGTGGGTATGACAGCTCAAGTCCTGGGTGTTCAGTGGCCCACAAAGTTCTTTGTGATCTGGCCACCTCCCACCCCCTTTTCTTCTTTGACCTCATCTACCTCCTGCCTATCACTCATCCCCTTCTCGTTCCATTCTAAACATACTGGCCTTGTTGTTCCACAAACACACCAGCCACCCTTCTTTGCACTAGCTTCTTATAATGCGCATCCCACAGGTATGGCTACCTCCTTCAGCTGTTCTAAGTCAAATATCAATTCAGTAAGTCCTTGACCATATTCTTCAAAATTGTACCACATCACCCTACCTTGGCACTCCTTGTCCCTATCACTTGCTCTGCTTATCCTTTTTAAGCCACTATTTATTGTTTCCTGACATACTATAAGGAACCCTTGTGGCACAGTGGGTAAAGCACTTGGTGCTAACCAAAGGGTCTCAGTTCGAATCTAGCAGTCACTCTGTGGGAGAAGGATGGAACAGTATGCTTCTATAAAGATTTACAGCCTCAAAAAAAAAAAAAAAAAAAGGATTTACAGCCCTGGGAAATGGAGCAGTTCTATAAAGTTGCTGTGAATCGGAATTGACTGGATGGGAACATATTTGTTTGTTTGTTTTGATGAACATCCTATAAAGGGGCCCTGGTGGTACAGTTGTTAAATGTATAGCTGCTAACTGAAAGATTGGCAGTTCAAATCCACCAGCCCTCCTCCAGTGAAAGATGTGAGACCACTTCCGTAAAGATTTCAGCCTTGGAAACCCTACGGGGCAGTTCTGCTCTGTCCTGTAGGGTTGCTTATGGGTCAGAATTGATGGCAACAGGTTTGGTTTTAACATCCTGTAAAGGAGCCCTGGTGGTACAATGGTTAAGTGCTCAGCTGCTAACCAAAAGGTCTGTACTTTGAATCCACTAGCTGCCCTGGAGGCAAAAGATGTGGCAGTCTGCTCTCGTAAAGATTACACCTTTAGAAACGCTATGGGCAGTTTTACTTGACAGCAATGCAGTTTTGGTTAACATTCTATAAAATTTATTTATTATGCATATTATTTATTGTGTGCCCCCATTAGACTAAGAGCTCCATGAGGGCAGGAATCTTTGATGTTTTATTTACTGATGTAGTCTAAGTACCTAAAACCACTAGGCACACTGTAGGCATTCCATAAATATTTGTTAAATGAACCAATAGACATTGAAAGTTTTAAGTAAGGAAGGGATGATATGATCTTCAAAAAGTCATTTTGCTCTTTGGAGAATGAATGGTTGAATGAATTGTGAAAGTAAGCAAGTTTAGTGAAGGAAATTTGGCTATGAAAGAGGAGAGTGGGTCTTGGCTGGAAGTGGTTGGAGGAGCAGGACCCTAAGCCGGGACAGTTTAAGAGGAGGGACTAGTCCTCCATGTGATGCAGAAATGGAAGTTGTTGTTAGGGGCAGTTGAGTTGGTTCTGATTCGAATCTGTGGACAACAGAACAAATCCTGCCCGGTCCTGCTCTCCATCTTCACAATCACTGCTGTGTTTGAGCCCTTTGTTGCGGCCACTGTGTCAGTTCATCTTGTTGGGTCTTCTGCTTTTTCGCTGACCTAGTATGATTACCTCGTCCAGGAACTCATCTGCAGATGATAGAACATTGTTTACTGAAAATGATGAGGAGAGGACAGTGCAAATGGAGCTAAGTTCATGTCTTCATTTTTTTTCTCTGAAGGAAGAAGCAAGCTCTTTTGATGAACATAAGGAAGGAAGTGGTGATGTTGAGGGTCTGAGGAGAAGGCTTGAAACAGGTGTAGCAGACTACAGGATAGAAGAGTGTAAGAGTGCAGTCTCTGGAGGCAAACTGTGGGTTTGAATGGACAAGCTGCTTAGTCACTACAAGCCTCAGTTTCCTCATCTCTAAAATGAGGGTGATATAAGTAGCTGCTTTGTGCATTTGTAGGAGTTGGCTGAGAAATCCCAGCAAAGCACTTAGCATGAGGCCCGGCATATAGTGAGCATTCACTAAGTATTAGCTACTTTTAGCTATTAGAGAAAAGACAGCCCGAAGAACAGTGAAGAAGCAGTCAAGATCAACCAGATGCATTTTCTCATGAATGATGGTCAGCTAGCTATGGTTTACTAGGTCAAGAGAAGATTAGAAGTAAAGATAGCTAATCTCTACTCCCCACTGATTTACCATCTCCTTTTGTATAAATCTTTTCCCTCTCTGTTCCTTGGTTTCTCCTTTCTATAAAATGAAGGTTTTGGACTTTTATGTTATTAGGTGCTGTCGAGTTGATCTTGACTTATAGCGACTGCATGTGACAGAGGAACTGCCCCATCCTAGGCTGTAATCTTTACAGGTCTTTCTTCCATGGAGTCGCTGGGTTGATTTGAACTGCCAGTCTTTTGGTTAGCACCTGAGAACTTAACCATTGCAGCATGGACTAGATGACTACTAAAGGCCCTTTCAGCATAAACATGCTACATCTCTAAACAATAAATCTCCCATGCCCCCTACTCCATGCTCCCAAACAAAAAAATAAAACTCACTGCTATCCAGTTCGGTTCTGACTCATAGTGACCCCCTCTGGGTTTCCAAGGCGGTAAATCTTGACAGAAGTAGATTGCCCAGTCTTCCTTCTGTGGAGTGATTGGTGGGTTTGAATCACCAACCTTCTGGTTAGCAGTCAAATGCCTTCGGCACTGCGCCACCAGAGCTCCTTACTCCCAGATACCCCTAAACACCCTCTGTTCACAAGTCCAGTCAGAATAAGCATCAGGGATACACAGGTGCTCCCCAACAGGAGACCTCAGTCCTTGAACTGGCCCCTATTCCTCACCTATCTCCAGGGCTGTACTAATGCTAGTCTCTTCTGAGACCAGTTGCAGAAGCTCAGCCACTCCGGTCATACTTCAGTGTCACAACCAGCCAAGAGCAAACCCATGAGCACCTTGAGAGTGCTTGAGAGAAGTGAGATATTCTATATGGATGGTGTAGGGAGGGGGTGGCTATACCCCTTCAGGGCCCCAAGATTGAGCCTCATTTGTGACTACTTTGGCTGCGTCCTTGTGTTCTAGGTCATCATGAGGAAGCCACGAGCAACTGGGAGAAGTTTCAGGAAGAAAGTACCTAGCCAAGAGGGAGGAGGAAAATGTGCCCTCAGCAGCAGGCAGGCCAAGCCTTCTGTCCCTGATGGTGAGGAGCCCGTTCCTAGTGGAGGGTTCAGGGGGTTGGTCTCATTGGCGATGAAAAGGACAGACTCAGGGTGGGAAGGGAGCATGGCCTCAAGACATTAAGAGACTTATGAGCTAATTCTGACTATGTTGCTATTCAACTTTGGGCTAATTGCACTGAATGGCTGCTTTCTTACTGGTAAAATGGGGCATTAGTTTGTGTGGGACTTTTGTGGCCATTAAATGCGTTTATGAATTTGAATGTATTGTGTAAACAGGAAGGCCCTGTATAGGTGCCAGTTATGCTTTGCTGAAACTGTTGGGTCTTCATTATGGCTTAGAGACAAAGGACCAAGCAATACCACCCTGGGAAAATCAAAGCCAGAATCTTGGCAAAGACTACATGCAGCTGAAGAACTCTAGTGTGACCCCAGCTCCAAAACGTAAGTGAGAGGCCATGGGTGTGGGGAACCCCAGTGGGAGCAGGCTGTCAACTAGGCAGTTGTGTCCCACGTCCAGGTCCACAGCCTGTGCAAGGACAATCCCTCAGTGTCTTGGGCACCCTCAGGTCTGGCCAGGCAGCAGGAGAAGGTAGCATTGCAGGCCTCCATCTCGCCATACCATCTATTCAAAGACACAGCTGAGGTCACAGACTTCCGGGGCAGTCTACTGAGCTGGTATGACAGAGAGAAGCGCGACCTACCCTGGAGAAGGCGGGTAGGCAGGCAAGGGACAGGGATGGTGGGGTGGGAGGCTGGTACCCAGCTGCTCCATGCTCACTACCCATTTGGGCTTCCATTGGCAGGCAGAGGATGAGGTGGACCTGGACAGGCGGGCATATGCCGGTGAGTATATCTCCTGAGAGCTTGGCCATTCTGCCTGGGGTCCCTTGAGGTTGAAGGCCAGGAGCAGGGAGGTCAGCAGTGCCCTCATGTCAACCCCTCTCCCCCAGTGTGGGTCTCAGAGGTCATGCTGCAGCAGACCCAGGTTGCCACGGTGACTGACTACTATACCCGATGGATGCAGGTGACTCCAGGGGAGGAAGGGAATGGTCATGGGCCAGACCCCCAGATGAAAGCCTGCCTTTTATAAGGCTCCTCCACCTCCCTCACCCTTGACCTCATTTCTTTTATGTCTGCCTTGGAGTTGTAGAAGTGGCCAACACTGCAGGACCTGGCCAGTGCTTCCTTGGAGGTGAGAACCACCCTAGCATAGGGGTAACGGAGACAACTAAGGACTGACCACTGATCTCTCTGAGCTTTGACCCCACTCACAGGAGGTGAACCAGCTCTGGGCTGGCTTAGGCTACTATTCTCGAGGCCGGAGACTGCAGGAGGGAGCCCGGAAGGTGAGGGGGTATCAGGAAGGCTGAGAGCCTAGGGGCCTCACATGTGTCACTCATAACCTTGAATCTCTCCCCCACCCCCAAATCAGGTTGTGGGGGAACTAGGAGGCCACATGCCACGTACAGCGGAGACTCTGCAGCAGCTCCTGCCTGGTGTGGGGCGGTACACAGCTGGAGCCATTGCTTCTATTGCCTTTGGCCAGGTAAACCTTTAGTCCCACCCCTACTGTGGGACCTGCCCACCCTCCTTCCTCTCAGCACAGGCTGACTCTTGGGCTCCTCTGTGCCAGGCAACCGGTGTAGTGGACGGGAATATAATACGGGTGCTGTGCCGCGTCCGGGCGATTGGTGCTGATCCCAGCAGCACTCTTGTCTCCCAACAACTCTGGTACGGTGTTGGAGTAAAGGGTAGAGTGGGAGGGGTGTCTCCAAAGGGTCTTTGATGCCCAGTGATAACCTTTTTTGCAGGAACTTAGCCCAGCTGCTGGTGGACCCAGCCCGGCCAGGGGACTTCAACCAAGCTGCCATGGAACTGGGGGCCATAGTGTGCACCCCACAGCGCCCATTTTGCAGCCAGTGCCCTGTGCAGAGCCTGTGCCGGGCACACCAGAAGGTGAGCCATCTGGGGAAGGCGTAGTCATGGCTCCTAGAGAGTGACTCTTACACCATAACACCCCTCCCTATGCCTCTCAGGTGAAAAGGGAACAGCTCTCAGCCTCCCAAAGCCTGGCACATAGCCCTGATGTGGAGGAATGTGGTGAGTATCAGGTCTAGGCCTAGCCACAGTCCTGCCCTGCCCTGGCAAGGAGCTGCCTGTGGAAGCCTTATTCCAGTTCTTTCTATGACCTGAGAAAGTGTCTGTGGAGCTAGGTCAAAGTCTGGTCTCTGGGTTTGGCACCTGAGCCTGAATGGAGCTCAGGGATTTCTGTTTCCAGCTTTCAACACTGGACAGTGCCAGCTGTGCCCACCACCCACAGAGCCCTGGGACCAGACCCTGGGAGTGACCAACTTTCCCCGAAAGGCCAGTCGCAGGCCCCCCAGGGAGGAATGCTCTGCCACCTGTGTCCTGGAGCAGCCCGGGGCTGTTGGAGGTGCTCGACTCCTACTGGTACAGAGGCCCAGCTCAGGTACTTGGATACCAGGAGTGAAGGAGCACCAAGGAGGGAATGGAAGTCAATAGCTGAGGCCCACCTCACACCTGCCTGCCCTCCTTCTTAGGTTTGCTGGCAGGACTATGGGAGTTTCCATCTGTGACCATTGTGCCCTCGGGGCTGTGCCAGCGCAAGGCCCTGCTGCAGGAACTGCAGAGTTGGGCTGGACCCCTCCCGGCCACCCGCCTCCAGCACCTTGGGGAGGTAAGTGAACAATGGAGGGGCCACGAATGATGGCTATTGTGGCAGTATCCTGAGGCCTATTTCAGCCCCTTCACCCCCATCCCTCCCTTACCAGGTCATCCACATCTTCTCCCACATCAAGCTGACATATCAAGTGTATGGTCTGGTCCTGGAAGGGCAGACCCCGGTGACCACTGCACCACCTGGCGCTCGCTGGCTAACCCGGGAGGAGTTCCACACTGCAGCTGTCTCTACTGCCATGAAAAAGGCACTGCTTTTGTTGTCTTTGTTACATTTTTTTTTATTTCTTGAATGCTCTGCACGAACCTATTACTGTGTAAACAAACAAACAAAAACCATATATTTTAAACAAAAATGTTGGGGTATGAAATTGAGGGCAGAACATAGGGGTTTGGCTCTTTAGGGAAAGGTGCCAGCCCTGCACTCTCCTATCTGGTTGACTAGGTGTTCCGGGTATATGAAGGCCAGCAGCCAGGGACCTGGAAGGTGAGTCCCTTGACCTTCACCCAGCTATCTCTGCTTTCAGTCAGTCAGCATTGTCTGCTGCAGGCTTCACTAGAGTGACAGATATAGTTGTTGATTTTGGGAATTTATAGTTTGAGGTCCATGGTGTAGGGACACACCCAATATAATACCACAGGTGTGGGAAATGTTTATAGTGTTTTGTGGGATATGAAGTGGGAATATCAGTTCTATCTGGGGGGCAGAGATCAGGAAAGGCTACTTGGAGAGGCAGTTTATCATCTGGGTTCCAGAAATGAGTCATTTTCTCCAAATTTGGGAAGGGAATTATCAGTGAGGATGTTCTTTCTAGGCCCACAGTAGCGGGAACAAAGGTGAGGCCCAGTGCAGTCTGTAGTGCTCTGGGAGTTGTGAGTATTTGGTTTAGCCAGAAGGACCCCAGGGCCTCCCCAGGTCAGCTAGGGACTGAGGCCACTGAAACATTTTGGGTAGAAGTGAGAGGACTCAGATCTGCATTTTAGGAAAATCCTTCTGGCTACATTTTAGAGCGTTAATCTGATGGGCAGATCCTAGAGGACAAGGTGAAAGCTTTCCACATTCCAGGCTAGAATTTGAAGTGAAGTGAGGGAAGGCATGGGAGGAGAGAATTCTCTGCTGCTCCCTCCTCAGAATCTCCCTACTTTGGCTTCTGCGCAGGGTCTCAAAAGGTCCCGAGTGTCTATCCCATCTAGCCGGAAAAAGTCCAGCCTGGGTCAGCAAGTCTTGGATCGTTTCTTTCGGCCCCATGTCCCCACAGGTGCGCCCAGCCTCAACAGTGCAGCCCAGTGATGCCTCTGGAAACGGCCACCCCTGAGAATCCTGTTGTTTAATAAAGTAGTTTATTTTCTGTAGTCATTTTGGAGAGCTTTCCACCCCTCCCACCCCCCATTTCCCACCTCTGAGGAACCCTGAAAGTAATGAAGTCCTGCTTGTTCCTGGTTTTTACTGGCTGAGGTTCAGGTAGCTGGCAGCTGCCTTTAGAGAGGCATCTGTCCTCTCACAGCCCCCAAAGAGAGGGAGAAGGCAGCAGCTGGACACCCAGCATCCTCAGTCCGGGTCTCAGGTCATCTCTGATTGGATCCAGTGTCATTGCCCCAAAGCAGGTGGTTGGGCTTAGCCCTGACCCAGCCCTCCCTCCTGCAGCTTGCTGGGGAAAGGGGAGGCACTGGGAAGGATTTGTTGTCTCAAATTCCTACCTCAAGTACTAAATCATAGTTATTTAGTGTATACAGAAAAGTAAAGGGCTGATAATCACAAATTTGGGGAGGTGAGTGGGAGAGAAGTGGGATCAGTGTGGCCAAGGAGACTTCAAAAGTATTGGTTATGATATGTATAGGGTTGGCAGACAATGTTTCTACAAGTGTATTGCTGTGTTCTATAAGAATTCCCAGGTGTGTAGTAAAGCCAACAAGGGACAAGGTTGTAGTCACTTTTTGGTCACAGCCAGCTACCACAGGGAGCAAGTAGTTGAACCTGTGGGCTCGGGACCATAGTCACAGGGGACATCAAGCTCAATGGGCATAACATACTACACAAAACATTCCACATCCTACTGTGGCAAGTAGCAACTGGGATCTTAAAAGCTTGCAAATAGCCATCTAGATGCAACGATGGGTCTCTCCTAGTCCAGGGCAAAGAAGAATGAAGAAAACCAAAGATTCATGGAAACAATTAGTCTAACGACTGGTATACCATGTGATCCTCAGTCTATACGACTATAAGACCAGAAGAACTAGCTGGTGCCCGGCTACCACTGTCAACCACTCGAAGGGGGATCTATGTAGGAGATCCTGGATAGAGTGGGAGAACAATGTGGAACAAAACTCAAAATCATTTGGAAAAAAAAAATGGGACCAGGTTTGCTGGTCTGATAGAGCCTGATGGAACCACTGAGAGTATGGCCCCTACCTGCCCTTCAGGTATGGAATTGAACCCACACCTGTGGCTTCCAGCCAAACAAAAGACAGGCATATGAGGTGAACATTTACACTAGGTAGATAGACTGCAGAGAACAATCATGGGAGAATAGAAGGGCTGTGTATGCACAGGGACATAGGTCAGGGGGCAGTAGTGCATGGAAGGAAGGACATAGGGAAAAGGTAACTATGGGGAGGAAGTGAGAGGGGAGCTGTTGCATTGTAAATTGTAGTCAATGTCATGAGACAGTGTATGTGAGCTGCTGTATGGGAAGTGAATTTGCTCTGTACACTTTCACCCAAATGACAATTAAAAAAAAAAAATGTATTGGTTATGAGACTGGTCTGATAAAGACTTGTGGAACCCCTAAGACTGTGGCCTTTAGATACCCTTCAGCCTGGAACTATACTCACCCCCATAGATCAACTTTCAGCCAAACGGTAGGCAAGCTTATAAACTGAATAATAAAGCAGGAAGGTATGCACCATACGAGATCAAAAGGGCAGCATTTGCCCAGGAGTAAAGCTCAGAAGGCAGGAGGGATAGGAAGGAAGGATGAATGGGAAGGGTAGACATAGGGAGGAAGTGGTAAATTCTGTTAAGTTGTGAGGATCACAATCAATCAATGTCACAAAACAAAATGGATATAAATTTTTGAGTGGAAACCTAATTTGCTCTGTAAACTCACCCAAATCACAATACCAGACTGGGGGTTGGGGGGAACACTGCCATTCAGTCAGTTCTGACTCATAGCGACCCCTACTGGGTTTCTGAGGCAGTACATCTTTATAGAAGTAGATTGCCCTATCTTCCTTCTGCAGTGTGGCTGGTGGGTTTGAACCACCAACCTTCTGGTTAGCAGTCAAGTGCCTTAGGCACTGCACCACCAGAGGTCCTTGTTGTTGCTGTTGTTATGTGCCGTGGAGTCGGCCCGACTCATAGCAACCCCTCCTTGGGTTTCCGAGGCAGTATCACTACGGAAGTAGGATTGCCCAACCTTCCTTCCGAGGAGTGGCTGGTGGGTTTGAACCGCCAGCCTTCTGGTTAGCAATCAAGTGCTTTAGCCACTATGCTACCAGAGCTCCCAGAGCTCCTTAGAAACCATAATAAAAAGTTCAAAGTACTGGTTATATTTCCTAATGTAATTCTTTTATTATACTTTATATTTTCCATATGTATTAAATAGTATAAGTAAATGTTTCATAGTAAAAACAAAAATATCCCACCTCCTTAGACCCCAGTGAGACTCAACTTCTGGAGGTGCTGATGAAGCTGTGGTCACACCAGGCCCCTGGGGGCAAGGTCTTTCATTAGTATCTAGGGATGTTTCTGTGGGTGTGTCTGGGCTAAGGTTGCTCAGGCTTTATGGCTCCTGGCAGCTTGCTCCTGCACCGACTGCCACAGGGCCCTGATGTTGCCCTGGCCAAAGCCTGTGGCACCCTGCCTCTGAATCAGCTCCAGGAAGAAGGTGTCCTCAGGAAAGAGGGACTTGGTGAAGACCTGAAGCAGGAACTTGCCTTCATTGCCATCTAGCAGGATCCCCTGTTGGGCTAGCAGGCTAGGCTTGTGACCTGCAGCTAGGATCTGGCCTTCCTTGCCTGGCTGTTGGTAGTAAGCCTCAGGAGGAGTCAGGAGCTGGCCCCCCGCCGCTGTCACCCCTTCAGTGGCCTCCATGATGTCAAGCGTGTACAGACCCACGTGCTGCAGGCCCGGCCCCTGGTGCCGGACCAGGAACTGCTCCACCTGATCCGCCCTGCTGTCGGCCCCCGGCAGAGACTCAGCCAGCACGAGGGTAGGGGCAGCACTGCCTATCGGGGGCTGCAGGGCTGTGAGCCGCAGCCCCCCGCATCCAACACCCGCAGTCACTTTTAGGCCTACCTCGGGATCCTCCCCTGGGCTCAACGGTAGGTGGCGAAAGCCCAGGCAATCTTGGAACCAGTGCATCAGTGTGGGAGAGCTGCCGGGAGTGCAGGCCAGGGTCAGGTGGTCCACGTGGCTGACCCAACCCGGCCCTGGCACAGAGGGCACAGGTCCAAAACCAGGGAGGAAGGGTCCGCAGTAGCCTGCGCGCTCCAGCAACGTAAGGCTGAGGTTGCTGACCGGCGAGTTTACCACTGCGTAAATGGCTGCACCGTGCACATCCTGCACCCTAACAGGGGGGAACGGTATGCTGCAACCTTGAGCAGTTAGTGCTCGGGCGGCGGCCGCCGCATCGTCCACATCGAAGCAAAGGTTTGCGGCGCTGGGCACAGCATGACGCAAGTCCAAGCCGTACAACGGCTCCCCGGGCCCCGCGCCCTCGTTCACCAAAAAGATTGCGTCTCCGCTTCGCAGGGCTAGCTGCCGCCAGCCGTCTGCCTCCCGCGCCGCCAGGAGCTGGAAGCCGAAGAGGCGCTGCAGGTCCCGGGTGAGTGACTGCTTCGCAGGCACGTGGAAAGCGATATGGCACAGGCGGCGGGCAGACGCCGCCATGGTTGTCCGGATCGCGACCCCGGCCAGTCCTTTCTCTGGGGCCGCCTAGTTGTTCCACACTCAGGCTCTGGGTCTGAAAGTGGTCGTTGGAAACCGTTGGAGTCCTGTTCTACCAGCAGTCTTCGTTTTTTCGCTCTTTCTGGAGAGAAGGACCGACTCTTGGGAGGGCTCTCGAGTTACGCTGCTACGCCCCCAAGCCTGAGGCTGCTACCGGACCACCAGCTCTGAATTGCTACCAGAGAGAACCACGCGGAGCACTGGAACTAAGCCCGAGATGGGGGCGGAGTTTGTGACTCCGCTGGTGGCACTATCCAATCTCCTGCCCAGACCCGTCGCTGAGGTTACAGAGAGAACGCTAGGCTGGGTCACACGTTGGGCACTGTGCCTTCCTCATCAAGCTCTTAAGATCACAATAGCTGCCTTCACTCGGTGCCAAGCTCTAGGCTATCGCTTGTCCTCCAATTCTCAAGCAAAGGGAATCAACCCCTGCCTGGGGGAGGAGCCCGAATTCTCCCTGCACAGGCACGGAATTTCTTAGCAGTCTCATATTCTTTCTATCTTTAAAAATTCTGGAGAATTTTGCTTTGTAAGTTTCATGTTTATTTTGCTAAACTTTAATATTATGCTTTAATATAATATTTTAAGTTAAAAGATCTTCACCCCCACCCCAAAATAGTCCAGACAAATTGATGTTATAGGAAGATGAGCTATTTATGACTTCTACACACGCTCTCATTTCTCTGTGGCAATTTCTTAACTGCGCTTGTCTCTTTTTTCAACCTCACTTCTCTTTCAACATTGTTTACCCCCTTGTCTCAAGCATGATTTGAAGGAAAAAAAGGGTGGCTCAGGACCTGAGAGGAATAACTAAATGGGTATCCTTCCTCCCTTCCTCACTCCCATCTACTCCTAAATGGGACTAGAACTCAGGCCCTCCTTGCCCTTTGCAGTTTCCTGACAGGCATTGGGCCGGAGGAGCTTTCTGGAGTGTTTCTAGCTCTGGGACTCAGAATTCTATGATATCACTGGATTGAAGAAATCAGGAGCCCTCTAGAACTTCGGCTGGACTGAACGGTCTGGGAAGGGTATTTCAAGGAGAGCAAACCCCATAAGCACAGGTTGAAGGAGAGAACATGAACCCTCAGAGGAGCAGTGGAGCTTGAGGTGGGGAGGCATTTTGAGGTGGATGACAGCCTCTGGACAATGCAAAAGAGATTTCATTTGACAGGTGGCATGGATTTGATGACCTATGGTTGGATATGCTTGGCAAGAAGGAAAAACAGGGTGTAATGAAAGATAGAGCTTAGAAAAAAAAGGTCTGGTTGGATGTTGAGGACTGCAGCTAGGAAGGCAGTACCCAGAAGCTGACCAGTGACAGTGAAAGTCACTCTGCAGACCAGTGAATATGAGAGAAAACATAAGTTCCGAAAGCCACAGTTCTGGATTTGAAATCCACCTTTAATATTTATTAACTGTATGACTTGGGGCAAGTTGCTTAACTTCTTTGAATCTCAGTTTCCTTATCTGCAAAAATGGGATTAATAATTGTACTAACTTCATAGGGTTGTTGTGATTAAGAGATAATATGTAAAAGGATTGACCCAGAGAATATGACGCAGGGTAAATAAATTCAGTAAATAGCTTTTGCTGTTGTGGTTGCTATTGTGTTATTTTATCTTATTGTACAATGACAGGGGCACTTCCCAGAGGGTGTTATGTGGCCTGCAGGAGGAATGGGGCAGGGCCTGCCCTCTATGGGGTCAAAGGCCAGACAACCTAGTCAATGCGCAGCTCTGTAATGGCCCCCAAAAGCTTTAGCTCACTCCAGGGAGTCCTGGGTAATATAAATTCCCCATCTTTCTCTCTTCATTCCCACCTCCATTAAAACTCCTCCCTCATCCCCAGTGGAAAGTATAGGGACTACCATAGGGCGAGGATGCCCTACCTCCTGCCCAACTTCATTTGACAGTTTACTAACTATATGACTGGGCAATGCCTCAATCTTCTCCGTGACAAACAGGGAATGTAATCCCAGCTTCCTGCCCGGGATCCTTTATGGTGAACAGGATGCTGCTGAACCCTTAAATGACTGCAGAGACTGAGAGGCTCAAGTGTTTGGGGCTAGAGGACTTCATCTTCTCCAGCTCAATTCCAAAAGAGGAAAGTGTCCCCAACACTAGCTCCTAGACTGCTTTCTTGAGAAAGCAACTTGTGTTGCAGTGTGCAGCTGGTGGGGGATCAGGTTTTAGTCTCAGAACCTGAGCCTGGCTATGTGGGGGTCATGGCTGGGACTGGTAGTGGCTTTTGTCAAGGTTGTTGGTTGGGCCAAAGCAGCAGAGGGTAAAGGGGCTCATAGAAAAGGATTGCAGTGGGATTAGAAACAACATACAGTAGGGCTATTCCTCACTAGGCCTGAGTACTGGAAGGGCCCTGGCTTTGGTCACTAGTTTCTGTGGGGAAGGGGCCCAGGGTCGGGCAAAATGGTCTATCTCGGCCCCTCACCGCCAGACCCCCCCAAGTGAGCTGCTCTGGTAGCTCCAGGCCTCCAGTCCAACTGCAGGGTTTTCTGCTCAGAGGTCTCAGGTATGGACATAGGGAGCAGAAACCGAACCCCTGGCCCATCACTTCCCACATGCTCCTGAAAGAAGGAGAACAGGATTTCTGGAGGTTAAGTGGGGGCATCTGAAAGAAACAGGTGATCTTGGATGGGGCAGGGTGACCTTGGCCCAAAGCACAGACTGGGTTCTGAAGAGGCCAACTGGGGTAGTGGTGGTCATGGGTACGGGTCTCCCTCCTGTTCAGGCTTCACTTTCTGAAGCCACACGCGTTCGGTGCTGAGAGAAGGGGCACAGATTGAGCCAGAGGCAAACAGGACAACGCCACTGGAGGGCACGGGGGGACCAAGTGGTGGTCTCCAACTGCACCTTCTCCAACTTCTCTGGCCAGGTCAGCAAGGATGAAGGCAGGGCTGTAGACGGCCGAGGAGCCGAGATGGCGGAGCCACGTCCTCCCTTCAGCTTTCTGCCCAGGCCTAGGAGATACCTGAAGCGCACTCCACTCAAACTTCTGACTCCTATTCTCACTGCTGCCCCTTTAACTCTCTCGGGGCCTGCACACGCGGTCCCCGGAAGCTCTCTTCTTTCGGGATCGGCCGGCCCCACCCCACACCCCGCCTCCGCTGGACTCCGCCCCTCGCCCTGACAACTGAGGGCCTGACGTTTCACAAACAGAAGGCCACACTGAGAAGGTGACTTTTGAATTCACTTCCTGAAGGAAGTGAAGGAGCGAGCCAGACGGATCTCTGGGAAAGAACATTCTTGTCGGGCGGAGAATAAGGCCCTAAGGCTTGACTGGGCGTGGTGTGTTTGATCGAAAGGCTCAGGTGCTGCTGCAGGGAAAATAGAGGACGGGAGAGTAGTAACGATAAGGTCACAGAGCCTGGTGGGGCCGTATTAGGACTTTGGCTTTTACCCTGAACGAGGTGGGTAGCCATTGGAGAATTTTGAACAGAAGGGTGACATGCTCGAACCGACTCCTGTTTCAGCTGAGCCGCCCTGGCCCAGCAAGGCAGAATAGGGAGGCCAGTGCTTCTGACATTGTATGGTGAGAGAGCTTGCCCGTGAAAGGGACATTTAAATCGAAACACAAAGTTGAGTGGAAATTGACAAGGCGAGGGGCTTTGTTCATGTGTTGGAGTGTGAGGGTGGAGTTTATTAGGGTACAGTTAATACTAAGGGCTGGAGGTGAAAGCACGTGTAATTAATTGGCAGCTGTCAGTATCTGTTTAAATCCTTCCCTAGACTAGAATCTTCTTGGAAAGAGGTGGGTTTTCATCTCCATAGGCCCAGAGCAGGGCCCTCTGCAGGTGCTCTGGGGGCCCTGGCTGAGTGAAAGAGAGTGGAAACCATTCCTTGGCATTTGCTTCAATTTTACTGTCATCAAATCTAGAAACCTGTTGTTATCATACCTCCTCTTCCCCTGACACTATGGAGAAAAGATCCTACCAAGGTAAGGCCCACCCAGCACTGAGGATTGCACCTACTCTCACGTCTTCAGGGAGCACACTTAACTGATGATCTTCATCCACCTATATCTTTACCCTATCCTTTTTGAGAGAGATCTTCGGGTCTCTTCCACTCCTCCAAAAATTCAATCCCATTTACCTTTACAACTACTGTTATATCTCTCTTCTCCCCTTCACGCTAAGCTTTTAACAATTAGTTTTTATTCAAAATCATAAAAAAAAAAAAAAGACCTGTGGTACTGGTCTTAGGAAGACTGGTGGAACCACGGAAACTATGGCCCATAGACACAATTCAAGTTAGAACTGTGACTTAACCCCTGTGACTCAACTTTGACCCAAACAATAGACAGGCCTATAAGGTGAACAGTAATACCCGGAAGTATGCACTCATTAGAACAATCAAGCATATAAGATCAAGAAGACAGCATTTGCCCAGGGATGGAGTTAGAAAGGTGAGAGGGGATATGAAGGAAGGAGGAAGGGAAGGGGTGGGTACAGGAAGGAAGTGGGGATTGAGTGAACATCACAAAACAGAGTATGTATGGATTGTTGAATGGAAAACCAATTTGCTCTGTAAACTTTCATCCAAATCGCAGCAAAAAAACAAACAAACTTATTTTTAAAGACACATAAATTATATTGAAAACTCCACTGTACATGCTCATAACAAAAATCCCAAGCTACAGAAAGCCATAAAATGAAAAGTAAATTTTCATTACCTTGACCACCTCCAAGAGTAACCATAATGAAGAGTTTATTGTGTATCCTTTTAAAAGAGTTTTTATACATTTATGTAAATACATATAGCTATCCTTTTAACGCATCATCTTGGATATATTTCTATTTCATTACCTCTTTATTTTTAATGGCTATATAATACCCCACTGTATGAATGTGCTATAGTTAATTTAACCATCCCCTTACTGTTGAACATGCAAGTTGTATTTCACTTTAGCTATTTATAAAGTGCCGTACT